GGAGACATGGGGGTGTAATCGGAGGATGGAAGAGGAGACATGGGGGTGTAATTGGGGGATGGAGGGACGGAGGAGGAGACATGGGGGTGTAATTGGGGGATGGAAGAGGAGACATGGGAGTGTAATTGGGGGACGGAAAAGGAGACATGGGGTGTAATTGGGGGACGGAAGAGGAGACATGGGGTGTAATTGGTGGACAGAAGAGGAGACATGGGGTGTAATTGGGGAATGGAAGAGGAGACATGGGGGTGTAATTGGGGGATGGAGGGACGGAGGAGACATGGGGTGTAATTGGGGGACGGAAGAGGAGACATGGGGTATAATTGGGGGACGGAAGAGAAGACATGGGGGTGTAATTTGGGGACGGAAAAGGGAGACATGGGGTGTAATTGGGGGGACGGAAGAGGAGACATGGGGTGTAATTGGGGGACAGAAGAGGAGACATAGGGTGTAATTGGGAGAAGGAAGAGGAGACATGGGGTGTAATTGGGGGACGGAAGAGGAGACATGGGGTGTAATTGGGGGATGGAGGAGGAGACATGGGGTGTAATTGGGGGACGGAGGAGGAGACATGGGGTGTAATTGGGGGACGGAGGAGGAGACATAGGGGTGTAATTGGGGGATAGAAGAGGAGACATGGGGTGTAATTGGGGGACGGAAGAGGAGTCATGGAGGACGCAAGAGGAGACATGGGGTGTAATTGGGGGACAGAGGAGGAGACATGGGGTGTAAATGGGGGACGGAAGAGGAGACATGGGTTGTAATTGGGGGACGGAGGAGGAGACATGGGGTGTAATTGGGGGACGGAGGAGGAGACATGGGGGACGGAAGAGGCGACATGGGGTGTAATTGGGGGACGGAGGAGGAGACATGGGGTGTAATTGGGGGACGGAAGAGGAGACATTGGGTGTAATTGGGGGATGGAAGAGGAGACATGGGGGTGTAATTGGGGGACGGAAGAGGAGACATGGGGTGTAATTGGGGGACGTCTGGCAGACGATGGCAGTGATATCACATCCTCAGGTCAAACAGGAAGTTGGGAATAGTTCCCCAGCTCGGGGGCAGGACAAGTAAGAGGCCACTCCTCCTCCCCATCCACCAGGACCACACACAGAGCCCTCAGCTCCCCTCCCCCGAGCACTACCTCTTCCCACATGACTTCTATATACCTGGCAGGGTTGGGGAAGCCAGGACCTCCTCACCGAACACAGTGCAGGGGGCGGACCCAGAGCCCAGCCCCTCCCACACCCTGTGCCCAGCGTCCTGCCAGATCCCAGAGTGGGAAAGTCATCACTTCTACCCAGACAGGAAGTCTATGGAAGACAGGAAGTGTTATCAGCGACAGACAGGAAGTCTCTATGGATGGAAGATAGGAAGTGATGTCAGGTATAAATAGGAAGTTCCAGGTGAGAGGTGAGTCGGGAGGTAGTAGAGAGGAGACATTGCTGGAAGTGGCAGCAGAAGAGGTAATTTATTTATTTCAGGTACTTATATAGTGCTGTCAATTTACGCAGAACTTTGCACATATATATGTATTGAACATTCACATCAGTCCCTAACCCTCAAGTGGTGTACAATCTAAGGTCTCTAACTCACATTCATACATACACATATTAGAGCCAATTTAGACAGGATCCAGCATGTCTTTGGAGTGTAGGAGGAAACCCACGCAAGCACAGGGAGAACATGCAAACTCCATGAAGGAGGCACCATGGTTGGGAATCGAACCCATGACCCATTTACTTCAAGGCAGACGTGCTAACCACTAAGCCACTGTGCCGCCCGCATATATATGATCTGATTTTATATTTACACTCAGTAACCCGCTGTCACGTCCGTCCATCTATAGACAACATAATGGCACCAATGAGAATGGAGGAGGACCGGAGTCACATGACTGAGAGGATACTAAACCTCACCCTGGAGATAATCTACCTGCTGACCGGAGAGGTGAGGGGGATTCTGGGAGGTCACATGACATCACACAGACCTGACCGCAGAGGTGAGGATTCTGGGAGGTCACATGACATCACACAGACCTGACCGGAGAGGTGAGGGGGATTCTGGGAGGTCACATGACATCACACAGACCTGACCGGAGAGGTGAGGAGGATTCTGGGAGGTCACATGACATCACAGAGACCTGACCAGAGAGGTGAGGAGGATTCTGAGAGGTCACATGACATCACTCTGGTCTAGTCTGGCCAATAGACCATGTTCTTCTTGTAGACATGTAGATGATGTCAGATGATTGATATCGGTTTCTCTTTCCCCTGATTTGTAGGATTATGTTGTAGTGAAGAAGTCTAGTGGGGAGCCAATCTCAGGAGGATGGAGCAGGACCCAGAGCCCCACCATGGTGCCTCCCCCTCGTTCTCCGATACCTGAGAGGAACAAAGAGCAGAAGATCCTGGAACTGACCACCATGATGGTCCATCTGCTGACAGGAGAGGTGAGTGGTGCCGGGAATTTTGGGACATTCTCCAGTAACAGACAAGCGATGTGTCTAGATGGTGACTGTATCATTGTGTGTGTCAGGTTCCTATAAGGTGTCAGGGTGTCACTGTCTATTTCTCCATGGAGGAGTGGGAGTATTTAGAAGGACACAAGGACCTCTACAAGGACGTCATGATGGACAATCAGCAGACTTCAAGTTTTGTGAAGATTGAAAAGAAGGAATTTCCCCGGAATGAGAAGATATTGAACCTCACCCTGGAGATCCTCAGCCTGCTGGCTGGAGAGGTTAGTTTCTTTTTTTGTTTCAGTTTTCATCCACTCACACCTCTGTTCTGGTCCTCGTTGTTCACAGTCTATATCCTACTTACTTCACTCTATACACTGTTTCGTACAGCCATATCCCTTAATAGTGTCTCTGATACATACCTGCAATAGATGGGTCCCCTCACTTGCCAAACAACAGATTGCATTCAGCGTCATAGTCCCTCCTGATCTGAAAAGGGCGCACATTCATTATTTTCATTATTTTTAGTAAATCTAAAACTGACCATAGAGGTGAGGGAAATGGCAGTGAGACATTTCTATCTCAAAAATGCAGGACTGTGAAGTAGTAAAGAAGTATCCAACTGAACAGGACACAGTGAGAATATATCTCCAACCCTCTACAAGATGGAGGAGAGGCCAGAACCTCACCACCATCCTTCCACCTTCATCCCTCCTACCTGAGAGGAGCAAAGAGCAGAAGATCCTGGAGCTGACCACCATGATGGTCCATCTGCTGACAGGAGAGGTGAGCGGTGTCGGGTATTCTGGGACATTCTCCAGTAACAGACAAGGGATGTGTCTAGGATGGTGACTGTATCATTGTGTGTGTCAGATTCCTATAAGGTGTCAGGGTGTCACTATCTATTTCTCCATGGAGGAGTGGGAGTATTTAGAAGGACACAAGAACCTCTACAAGGACGTCATGATGGACAATCAGCCGCCCCTCACATCACCGGGTAAGAGGAGACTGCATAAAATTTACATTACTCGTTTGAATTTAAAAAAGTGAATGTAACTTTCCTGAATTCCTTGTTAATTTATAATTTATTGTTCTCCTGATGGTTTGTCTTCCCAAAAAAACATTGTTCCCACCAAATTAGATGGATACTTTACACCATATAAAAGATCCATCTCCATTCCTCAATATACCATCATGTTCCCGACCAATGAGGAGGAGTTACTGGACACCATATGAAAGGTCCATCTCCGTTCTCCAATATAACTTAATGTTCCCACCAAATTGGATGGATACTTTACACCATATGAAAGGTCCATTTCCATTCTTCAATATAACATCATGTTCCCGACCAATGAGGAGATACTGGACACCATATGGAAGGTCCATCTCCGTTCTCCAATATAACGTCATGTTCCCAACCAATGAGATACTGGACACCATATGAAAGGTCCATCTTCATTCCTCAATATAACGTCATGTTCCCAGCCAATGAGAAGATACTGGACACCATATGGAAGGTCCATCTCCATTCCTCCAATATAACGTCATGTACCCAACAAATGAGGAGGAGATACTGGACACCATATGGAAGGTCCATCTCTCAATACAACGTCACGTTCCCAACAAATGAGGAGGAGATACTCGACACCATATGAAAGGTTCATCTCCATTCATCGATATAACATCACGTTCCCGACCAATGAGGAGATACTGAACACCATACAAAAGGTCCATCTCCATTCCTCAATATAACGTCATGTTCCCGACAAATGAGGAGGAGATACTGGACACCATATGGAAGGTCCATCTCCATTCCTCAATATAACGTCATGTTCCCAACAAATGAGGAGGAGATACTGGACACCATAGGAAAGGTCTGATACAATGTTTCTTCCTAACAGATGGATGTCATGTTGGGAATTCCTCAGAGGGGCCCCAGATTCCATTGGCAGATCTTGGTGGAGAAGATAATGGAATCTCAACAGATCCTGTGAAGGAAAGGCCTTTTTTGTGCTTGGAGTGCGGCCAAAACGTTTAAACAGAAGCATCATCTGAAAAGACATGTGAGAGTTCACACGGGTGAGAATTTTCCGTGTATAGAGTGCGGGAAATGTTTTTTACGGAAAGAGAAACTCATGGCACACCTGAGAACCCACTCAGGGGAAAAGTTGTATACTTGTACAGAGTGCGGGAAAGGTTTTACACGGAAGGAGGTACTCGTTACACACATGAGAATCCACACAGGTGAGAAGCCGTATTCCTGCCCAGACTGCGGGAAATGTTTCAGCAGGAAGTACAGTCTTACCCTACATCGAAAAAAGCACGAGAGTTCCTTGTCATGTCCAGAGTGCGGGAAATGTTTTGAAACAAGATCTGCTCTTAGCATACATCAGAGAGTACACATCGGCAAAGAGATCCTCTTGTGCTCAGAGTGCGGGAAATTGTGTGTAAGTAAATCTCATCTTGCCGTCCACCACAGAAGCCACACTGGTGAGAGGCCGTTTTCTTGTTCCACATGTCACAAATCATTCATTCAAAAGTCAGAACTTATAGTGCACCAGAGAACACATACCGGTGAGAAACCATTTTCATGCCCTGAGTGTGGGAAATGTTTCTCACAAAATGACAACTTGAATACCCACATGAAACTGCACACTGGAGAAAAGCCATTTTCCTGTACGGAGTGCGGGAAATCCTTCAGTCGGAATAGTGACCTTGTTGCACACCTGAGCAGTCACACGGGTGTACATCGTTTTTCATGTTTGGAGTGCGGGAAAGGTTTCACACATAGGGGAAAACTTCATAGACATGAGAGAACTCACACGGGTGAGAAACCTTATGCCTGTTCAGAGTGCGGAAAATGTTACCAACAGAATAACCATCTTCTTGAACACCTAAGAAAGCCACACAGGGGAGCGCCCTTTTCCATGTTCAGTGTGCGGGAAATTTTTCCCACGGAAATCTGATCTTGCCATACACAGGAGAAGTCATGCCGGTGAGCGTACTTTTTTTTCATGCTCCGAGTGTGGGAAATGTTACACCAATGAGGGACACTTCCGTATACACAAGAGAAGCCACACGGGTGAGCATTCTCTTTCCTGTGCAGAGTATGGGAAATGCTTCAATAATAAACGTGAGCTTGATGGTCATCGGAGAAGCCACAAGAGTAAGTGATCTCTAAACGACTTTGACATTCGAGACTTTCTTATACTCCAAAGAAGCCACGTTGGGTGAGGATTGCTTTCCCACGTTTCTGCTTAGGAAGCTACCCGGGTTATTGAACCTTTCCACGTCCCCAAAATATTTCCCGGCGATGTCACACAGGAAAGGGTGCTTTTATCCCGACCACTGATAGTCACAGGAATGCCGTGAGATCTACTGATGGGAATCAAGGCAACGGGTGCTGGTGACAACATGCTCGCCCCCCCCCATTTCCAGGCTTTGGTCCGGCACACCTTGGATCTTGGGGTCCTCCTGCCCGAGTTGAGGACTTCTTGTACATTTTTTCACTCAAAACCAACAAAAGACAGAAAAGAAGGAGAGAGAAGTTGACGTTGTGAATGAACTAAATATCTAAGGCTGGAGATGACCATCGCCAATGTCTACTGAATGAGCCTCAGGTTCTGGGGAGCATTCAAAGGGCTTCTTCATCATCTGATCACCAGCGTTAGCCAATCACAGGGATCACAAGGGTACGGGAACCTCCGTCTGTGCCCGCCATCACAGGGATCATGAGGGTACGGGAACCTCCATCTGTGCCCGCCATCACAGGGATCACGAGGGTACGGGAACCTCCGTCTGTGCCCGCCGTCACAGGGATCAAAAGGGTACGGGAACCTCCGTCTGTGCCCGCCGATCACAAGGGTACGGGAATCTCCGTCTGTGCCTGCCATCACATTCGCTGCCAGTTCCAGCTGTCACTAGGGCGGACGCCAAGGGGGTATCCAGGATTTATCACATGGCAACAGAGTACCATTTCTTCCAGTTGTAACAAGTGTTGTGAATTAAAAATACTTTTGGCTGAAGTTCCTAAAATGTCCTCAACATCGTCCTTGGAAAGGATCAGCGAGGGCTGTCTACATGTCAAACTCACTAGAGCAGTCACCAGCAGGAGGAAGGAGGTCTTGATTCCTCTATATAGATCCTATCACTAGAGGGGTCACTGGCAGGAGGAAGGAGGTCCTGATTCCTCTATATAGATCTTTATATCACTAGAGGGGTCACCGGCAGGAGGTCTTGATTCCTGTATATAGATCCTCATATCACTAGAGGGGTCACCGGCGGGAGGAAGGAGGTCCCAATTCCTCCAGATCTTTATATCACTAGAGGGGTCACTGGCAGGAGGAAGGAGGTCCCGATTCCTCTATATAGATCCTATCACTAGAGGGGTCACCGGCAGGAGGAAGGAGGTCCTGATTCCTCTATATAGATCCTATCACTAGAGGGGTCACCGGCAGGAGGTCTTGATTCCTGTATATAGATCCTCATATCACTAGAGGGGTCACCGGCGGGAGGAAGGAGGTCCCAATTCCTCCAGATCTTTATATCACTAGAGGGGTCACTGGCAGGAGGAAGGAGGTCCCGATTCCTCTATATAGATCCTATCACTAGAGGGGTCACCGGCAGGAGGAAGGAGGTCCTGATTCCTCTATATAGATCCTATCACTAGAGGGGTCACCGGCGGGAGGAAGGAGGTCCCGATTCCTCTATATAGATCTGATTTCAAGGTCTGAGAAATCTCACGTTCACAGCCTTGACAAGTATCCAGCAAAATCCTATTGTATGGTTTTCTTTGTTACAATATAAGAAGAATCTATGAATAAAGATTCAGATTGTCTTCTGGAAACCTGTGTGTGCATGCTAATTTCTTCCTTCTAGAACACAGTTTCTTGGGCCCAATGGACCGGAACCTACCAGTGGTCATTAGAAGCACAAATCCCTTTCAGTTGGAGGTCCTGATTCCTCTATATAGATCCTATCACTAGAGGGGTCACCGGCGGGAGGAAGGAGGTCCCGATTCCTTTATATAGATCCTATCACTAGAGGGGTCACTGGCAGGAGGAAGGAGGTCCCGATTCCTCTATATAGATCCTATCATTAGAGGGGTCACCGGCAAGAGGAAGGAGGTCCTGATTCCTCTATATAGATCCTATCACTAGAGCGATCACCGGCGGGAGGAAGGAGGTCCTGATTCCTCTATATAGATCCTATCATTAGAGGGGTCACCGGCCGGAGGAAGGAGGTCCTGATTCCTCTATATAGATCTATCATTAGAGGGGTCACCGGCAGGAGGAAGGAGGTCCTGATTCCTCTATATAGATCTTTATATCACTGGAGAGGTCACCGGCAGGGGGAAGGAGGTCCTGATTCCTCTATGTAGATCTTTAGTTGGACCTCATGTAGAATACTGGGTCCAGTTCTGGAGATCTCACCTACATAAAGATATTGATAAGACAGAACCAGCCCAGAGACGGGGACCACACATGGTGGAGGTTCTGGAGGACAGAATATATCGGGAGAGACTGCTGGAACCGAATATGTCCAGTCTGGAGGAAGGGATGGAGCTGACCATGATGGATGTAAAGAAGGTTCAGGAAGTATTTGAGATTACGAACACGGGGATACGACCTCCAACTATGAGGAGGAAAGCTGAAAAGTAACCTTAGAAAGTTTTAAAGTTGTTCCTAAAAGTGTAGTTGATGCTTGGAACCGACATCCAGCCGAGGGAGTCAGGCAACAGGGAGTGGCTTCACTCCTTCTCTGGACTAATGGAGATCTGTTCCTTCACCTGAAATGTGGATCTGAAATCACGATGGAATGTCACGGGAAGGTGTATAATAATGGCAGCCAAAAAAGGAACCGCAGTTCTCGTCATCTCCACAAGGTGGGGACCTTGCTGACACTGAGAGTCTTTATGACAGCTGGAGACAGGAAGTGATGTCACGTCATAGGATGGAGATGGGGGTCAGCTGGAAGTAGAGACAGATGAAGAGGACGGTTGGGTTGTATTTTGAGGTGAGGTTGGTGATGGAGCTGAGGGCAGAGCTGTGAATGGCTTCATATGATATTAATAGTATCAGTTTTATCTGTCGGGTGATTGGAGACCAATAGAGGGGTGGAGGACACTCAATGGAGGGATTGGCAGGAGGGGTGGAGGACACTGAATGGAGACCAGTGGAGAGATTGGCAGAGAGGGGTGGAGGACACTAAATGGAAGCCAGTGGAGGGATTGGCAGAGAGGGGTGGAGGACACTGAATGGAGGCCAGTGGAGGGATTGGCAGAGAGGGGTGGAGGACACTGAATGGAGGCCAGTGGAGGGATTGGCAGAGAGGGGAAGAGGACACTGAATGGAGGCCAGTGGAGGGATTGGCAGAGAAGGGTGGAGGACACTAAATGGTAGCCAGTGGAGGGATTGGCAGAGAGGGGAGGAGGACACTGAATGGAGGGATTGGCAGAGAGGGGTGGAGGACACTGAATGGAGGCCAGTGGAGAGATTGGCAGAGAGGGGTGGAGGACACTAAATGGAAGCCAGTGGAGGGATTGGCAGAGAGGGGTGGAGGACACTGAATGGAGGCCAGTGGAGGGATTGGCAGAGAGGGGTGGAGGACACTGAATGGAGGCCAGTGGAGAGATTGGCAGAGAGGGGAGGAGGACACTGAATGGAGGCCAGTGGAGGGATTGGCAGAGAAGGGTGGAGGACACTAAATGGTAGCCAGTGGAGGGATTGGCAGAGAGGGGAGGAGGACACTGAATGGAGGGATTGGCAGAGAGGGGAGGAGGACACTGAATGGAGGGATTGGCAGAGAGGGGTGGAGGACACTGAATGGAGGCCAGTGGAGGGATTGGCAGAGAGGGGTGGAGGACACTGAGTGGAGGGCAGTGGAGGGATTGGCAGAGAGGGGTGGAGGCCAGTGGAGGGATTGGCAGAGGGGGTGGATGACACTGAGTGGAGGCCAGTGGAGGGATTGGCAGAGAGGGGTGGAGGACACTGAGTAGAGGCCAGTGGAGGGATTGGCAGAGAGGGGTAGAGGACACTGAATGATGGGCAGTGGAGAGATTGGCAGAGAGGGGTGGAGGACACTGAGTGGAGGCCAGTGGGAGGATTGGCAGAGAGGGGAGGAGGACACTGAGTGGAGGCCAGTGGAGGGATTGGCAGAGAGGGGGGTGGAGGACGCTGAGTGGAGGGATTGGCAGATAGTGGTGGAGGACACTGAGTGCAGGCCAGTGGAGGGATTGGCAGAGAGGGGTGGAGGACACTGAGTGGAGGCCAGTGGAGGGATTGGCAGAGAGGGATGGAGGACACTGAGTGGAGGGATTGGCAGAGAGGGGCGGAGGACACTGAGTGGAAGGCAGTGGAGAGATTGGCAGAGAGGGTGGAGGCCAGTGGAGGGATTGGCAGAGAGGGGTGGAGGGATTGGCAGAGAGAGGTGGGGGACACTGAATGTAGGCCAGTGGAAGGATCGGCAGAGAGGGGTGGAGGACATTGAATGGAGGCCAGTGGAGGGATCGGCAGAGAGGGGTGGAGGACACTGAGTGGAGGGCAGTGGAGGGATTGGCAGAGAGAGGTGGGAGACACTGAATGTAGGTCAGTGGAAGGATCAGCAGAGAGGGGTGGAGGACACTAAATGGAGGTCAGTGGAGGGATTGGCAGAGAGGGGTGGAGGACACTGAATGGAGGCCAGTGGAGGGATTGGCAGAGAGAGGTGGAGGACACTAAATGGAGGT